CTTACCGGCCTACTCGAGTGTTTTTCCGCTACCCACCGAGGGCCGCAGGGCCGCTATCGTCGCCACCTGAGTGTTTCCTGGCTGCAACCCTCAAATGTCACGCCACTGGTAAGTACCGGCCCTACCGGTCCTGCCCCCACATCCACGACCCCGACGGGGCCACACACACACTCAAGTCACTTAGACAGGCACGCAGCACACTCACACAGGTCAGCCAGCATTCAGACAGACATGCAGTCCAGCACACACACACACAAGCAGACTTAGCAGGCGGGGGAACTTAGTATGGCATGCATTCCACGGCAAGACTCAGAAATCGGCTGTCTGTTTCAGTCCGTGTGATGACAGGTCATAACAGCTGGCTTGATAGCGCTGTGGATGATGGGACTGTCGTTCACCAATCGATTTGAATCGATTCAAATGAGGGGAAGTAACCTCCTCTAGCAACCTCGTCCAATACAAAAAAAAGCGGACATACAAGGGCATGAATCCGCTTCTGGGGCTCTCTGTGCTACCGATCCGTTCCTTCACGCTTCCCTTTGGCATTTGCTCGAACACGACGCAGCTGCTTCCTGCGCAACAAACTCCCAAGAGCATATTTCAGGAAATTCAGATTACTGAGTTGTCGTGGCGACTATCAGTCGATTCCCGATTATTCTGAGAGCGGTCCTCGCGGCTGGTAGTAGCTACAATTGGAGTTTTTGGCAAATAAGCAGCTTTGATGTACAATGGGACGCTGGACCCGATTTCCAGCAGGTGCTGCTCCCCACCAATAGACGGAGCCTCCCTTGGGGTGCTAGTGGTGTCTGCTCTTAGCAGCTCCCCTAGCACTCACTACCTCGGGTTGTTCATCCAAAATAAATAATAATAATAATAATAATAATAATAGTAATAATAATAATAATAATAATAACAATAATAATAATAATAATAATTAATAAATAAATAAATGAGGGAGTTGTAGGGTGTGCAAGATATCCACCACCTGTCTTAGACCCCCAGCATGCAGCCCCAGCCTTGCGAGATTGCTTCATCATGGCTCTCCTTCCTAAAATATCAGGAGGCTCGAGGCTACAGGACCACAATGGCTGGAGGCGCGAGCCAGAAGCAAAAAGAAGTGCGCCCTGCTGGCGGCTATATACTTTCCCTGCGTAAAGAGATCCCTCACGACTGTCAAGGCCGCACCTTTTCTCTGCAACTGCATCTGTGTCTGCGTCTGCGTCTGCGTCTGCATCTGCGTCTGCGTCTGCGTCTGTGTCTGCGTCTGTGTCTGCGTCTGTGTCTGTGTCTGCGTCTCGTCTGCGTCTGCATCGCAGTCGCAGTCGCAGTCGTTCATTGCAACCTGGAGCTCTATCGCTCAAGGAACATCCTTTGGGTCCTTTGGGAAAGTATAATTCTCAGAGAGAAAACTCTTCGGCGAACCTTTGCTCGAGTTTCTCGATCCTTTTGTCAGATTTCTCTAATTTCTCAAGGAGTTCAGCTCTCTCGCACTCGAGCTTCTCAATCCTCAGCACTGATCTTTCGAGCTTCTCTACAGCAATTTTCAGTTCTGCGGCTTCTACCGACCTTTCCAGCTCCTCTACAGCAACTTTTAGTTCTGCAGCTTCTACCTTCGCCTTGTTCTCCAATTCCTCGGCCTTTCTCTCCGAATTCTCTAACCTCTTGATCAGTTCATCTCTCTCACACTCCAGCTGCTCAACCCTCAGCATTGACCTTTCAAGCTTCTTCTCAACCGTTTCCGGTCCCTTAGCTTTTGCTTCTACTAACTTGTTCGCCTCCGTCCGCAGGTGCTCACTGGCAGGCCTCTCCTTTTTTTGGGTCTTTTCGTCTGGCCGATGATTGGCTGTCCATTCCTGAATCCGTCTCTCGCACTCCAGCTTCGACTTCTCAAGCTTGTCTACAAGAAGCGCACCTCTTCCGCCCTTCACGCTCGTTCCTTCCGCCTCCAGGGTCTGTGACGCTGCCTTCAAACCGTTCACCGCCGACTCCAGCTTCCAAATCCTCTCTGCTTGAGTTCTCGTCTCCTCCTCCTCCTCCTCCTCCTCCTTATGCTGAGCTCTCAAGTCGTCAATAATTTCGCTCTTCCACTTCCATTCCATTTCGCTTACAACATTTCTGATTCTCACCTCGAGCTCCCGCTCGGAATGGGCTGCAGCTTCCTTTTCCCGCTTGTCCACCATCCTCGTCCCCACTGCCCTTGTTTTTCTCCCTCCCTCTACTAGTACCTGAATCAGGGAGAACTTTTGTCTACCGCCAACGATCAGCACGTCAGAGTTTTTGCAAAGAGCCATGCCTTCAAGAAATGAGGATTCACAGACATAAGATGCCACCAGCTGATAGTCCCGCTCACTCCATACTCTAATTTCTCCGTCCTTTGATGCGCTAAAGAGGTACGGCAATCGTGGATGCAGAAAGGCCGACTTCACATCCACTGAATGCCCCGTTAGCTTGGCAAGGCAAACTCCTCTTCTGAAGTCGAAGACCCTTACTACGCCTGGCGTTGGCGAACTCGAACATCCACTCTCCGCGCTGTGTGTTGTGATCATCAGGGACTTTTTTGAGAATCGGGCACAGAATTCAATACTTGTCACAATTGACCCTCGTTCTGAGTAGAACGTCCGAACAATGGACATATTGAACACATCCCATATCTTGATAATGTAGTCCAGTCCCGCACTCGCAAAGATACCCCACTCTATTGGATGAAATGCCACTGCTGTCACCCTGCCGCTATGGTCTCCGAGCTTATACTCCTTCCAATTCTTGCTCCAGTCTAGTAAAAGAAGGCTTGACTGCTCAGAAACTGGAATGTAGGGTACGCTCCCATGCAAATTCAGAAACGTGCAAAGAGAAACTCTTAATGGGGGTGATGTCTGTACAATCTTTATGCCTTGCCAATTTGAAGCTTTCACTTCATAGATGGTAAGGCATTCTAAATGCTCCACCAAATCCAGCCCCTCTGCGGCGTCAGAAATTTCGCTTTATAAACTGCCCCCTGAACTTCCCCGGAGGCGACCTGTGTCCCATCTTCATAATTCCAAACTTGGAGTAGGTTGCAGCCTCTACGTGTGCATAGAACCCATGGCTCATGAGGGTGCACATCAATCTGCACTGCAGACTCACTTGAAAAAGCAAGCAAGGTTCTATCAAGTTTATGCAGCAGCTGAGGCCCTGTTTCTGTTTCTCCGGTCTTTTCATCATCATCAGCCATCCTTGGTGAGCGAACACCAGGCCCTGCAGTGTTGCTAATGCTGCTTCTACTCCTGCTAGTATTACTACTGGTACTGCTACTACAAGTACTACTACTCGTACCGTCTTCACCCGACGAATAGAACGACTGCCGTATCTGGACTGCAAGGTGCACCAGATACAGCTATACTGACCGGGCGTTCTATTCGGGTGAAGACGGTAGTCGCCGTACTGGATAAAGGATGATGCCCCTGCGCTACTTACTGCTAATATTCACCATACTGGGCTTAGGGTGCCTCTCCCGCGCCTCATTTCACTTGCCTTGGACACCTACCTCTGTAATGTGAACAACTTGCAGTATGTACTTTTGCAGAGCGCCTTTCTTACAAAGCTCTGGAGGCCACCGCCGAAAAAAAAAAAAAAAAACATGACATTGTAGCAAAAAAACAAGTTTCCATTTGTCAGCAGCAGTCTTTTTTTTTCTTTTTTTCTTTTTTTTCTTTTTTTTTTGTCAGCAGAAGTCTTGGGTACCATGAAACCAGATCAAAAAGAAAAAAGAAAAAAGAAAAAAAGACAAAAGAAAAAAAAGGGAAAATTTGCAAAACGCCCCTAAAATTTCCATTTATTTGCGATTTGCCCTCGGATGGCCGATTTTTTCTGAATTGCCCCTCTGACAACGAATCAAGTTTCCAGAAAACCCCCGGCATCACTTGGGCCTCGAATATGTTCAATATGCCCCTACCGGTACCGCTGCAAACTTTTCAATATGCCCCTACCTGTTGGCCGTTGAGGACCTGCACTAGAATTTGCTGAATTTGCTATATGCCCCTACCGGTACCCCTCCAACCCGCGCCTCGCCGCACGTGGATCGATAGAATGAGCAAATCAAAAAGTGGCAGTGTATATTTCCACGTTTCAGCAGAAGATTCATTCCGTTTTTGCTCATCCTATCGATGGAGTGTGTGTGTGTGTGTGTGTGTGTGTGTGTGTGTGTGTGTGTGTGTGTGTGTGTG